GGGGAGGGGCAGAGAGAGAGGGAGACACAGAATCGGAAACAGGCTCCAGGCTCCGAGCCATCAGCCCAGAGCCGGACGCGGGGCTCGAACTCACAGACCGTGAGATCGTGACCTGGCTGAGGTCGGACGCTTAACCGACTGCGCCACCCAGGCGCCCCCAGATGGGGAGTTTTTACCGTAAATCCTTTTGCAGAAATTTTTAAATGCCAAACTCTGTGCATGTGTTTTCTATCCGAAAGCTAAATATACAAAAATAAAAATAACCAAACCTCTATCTCTTGGTCAAGCACCTTGACTCTTGGTTCTCTCTCCATAAGATCAAGCTATCAGTCCCACGGCTCCTTCCTTCTTTAACAGCTTCTGTCGTGGGCACTGGTATTTTGACAGAGTCAGGGTTTACAGTGTCTTTCTGTTTCCTTACCTATAGGTTGGCCCTAAAAAGTGGACACCGGCAAGTGCCTGAGTAAGTTGGCTGTCAGCTTCCTGGTTAGGAGAGGCAATGTCAAGGGCAGGACCAATGCAGGGGGATCTGCTTCTGCCCCACCCCAGTCCACCATGAGGTCACCTCGCCAATTGCAGTGCGTTCTAGAACGAGGCCACAGGGTCCAGATGGGGGATCTCCCGTGCCTCCACTGGCCGGCTCTCTGACCCACCCCAGGGATTGGGGTGGCGTGGGCCTCCTAGCACGCTCTAGGAGGCCCCCCAAAAGTTCGGGTGTTAACATATAGCTGACTTCCGGTCCTTTTGGACATTCAGATGTTTTCCACGACCATTGTGGTTTCTACGTTAAAAAAAAAAACAAAAAAGTGAAAATCGAAACATCAGACACCAAAATGTCTGACAGAAGAAAACAGACAGTCAAGACATCCGTTAACATCTCTGTCCTGTTGGAAAAAGCTCTAAGCCAGCTTTGGAGATGTGGGCTCCCTCTGGATTCTGCATTTTTTTTTTTTAACATTTATTTATTTTTGAGACAGAGAGAGACAGAGCATGAGCAGGGGAGGGGCAGAGAGAGAGGGAGACACAGAATCGGAAGCAGGCTCCAGGCTCTGAGCCATCAGCTCAGAGCCCGACGCGGGGCTCGAACTCACGGACGGCGAGATCGTGACCTGAGCTGAAGTCGGACGCTTCACCGACTGAGCCACCCAGGCGCCCCTGGATTCTGCATTTTTTACGACCGCTCTTGGGGCCCCAGCCAGACGAGCTCCCGGGTCCTTCCAGGTGTCACCCTGGAGGGCCTGATGACGGCACACCAGAATGGCACTGTGCCCAGAGAGCCCTGCCGGGCGGGCAGGGCCCCGTGCCCCAGAACTGTGAGCGCAGGATGCCCGGGACGGCTCAGCGTGGCAGGTCTGTCTCCTCAGGCACCCTCACGTTATGGTTGACTCCCCCAACAAAACAAACAAACAAACCAAAAAAGATGTTGAGGTTTTAAGCCCTGTGAATATAACATTATTTGGAAACGGGGACGTAGGAAGTTAGGATGAGGTTATTGGGGTGTCCTTAGAAAAAGGTGACAGTTGGATACAGACAGTACAGAAGGAAGCCATGTGGAGAAGACAGAGCCATCCACAAGCCCAGGAACACCGGAGGTTTCCAGAAGCCAGAACAGATGCTTCCCTACAGCCTTCAGAGGCCCCTGCCCACACCTTGACTCCCAGCCTCCAGGGCTGTGAGGGAATACGTTCCTGCTGTTTAAGCTGCCTGGTCTCTGGGACCTTGTTAAGCAGGCCAAGCTGACAGACACCGGGCGGGGGGCGCATGTGCATGGCTCTGCTGGGTCAGCTGCCCCTCAGCCCCAAAGATGAAGCCCCTTGCCCACCAGACCCAAGATGGGAGCTGAGGGCACAGGAGAAGCCGCCTGGGCCTCGGGCCAGGCGCCCATCCTTCTCTGCCCGTCCATCTGTCCATCCACGGGCTCGCCTGGCACTCCACGGCGGGGCCCAGATCCAGGCAGCCCCGGGTGTGACCCCGACACCCGTCCCCTGAGGCTGGTCCCCTCACTGAGGCGCCTCTTGCCCACGCCGGCCTCCTGGGTGCCGTGTTCTCGCACACGCACGCGCACACACACGGGGGGAACTCGAGTCCGGGAGGCCCCTGGTGCCGCGTGGGGGCCCCCGAGGGTGACTCTGATGAAGCTACACCAGCCACCGAGCGGGCAAACCGGGCAGCAGGCAGGGCCCTCGGAGCTCAGAGCCGTGGACGCCGTCTGTGCTGTCCCCAGCGAATTCTCCCTGCTCCCGTCAGGATCCCTTTAGTAGCCTGCTCACCGCACGCCTGCCTCTGTCCGTTCTGTTTGTTTTTTTAATTAAAAAAAATTTTTTTAACGTTTATTTATTTTTGAGACAGAGAGAGACAGGGCATGAAGGGGGGAGGGTCAGAGAGAGAGAGGGAGACCCAGAATCCGAGGCAGGCTCCGGGCTCCGAGCTGTCAGCACAGAGCCCGACGCGGGGCTCGAACTCACAGACCGCGAGATCGTGACCTGAGCCGAAGTCAGACGCTTAACCGACTGAGCCGCCCTCCCGGCCTCCTCCATATCCTGTCACTCAGGACTTCTGAACGGCAAACTCTGGACTGCAGAACTTTTAGGCCGGTGGCCCGGCAGGTCGCCTGCGACTCCCAGGGTGGGGTGACTCACTGGGTGGCTTCTCCAAGGCAGCCCCACCTCTCTGTGTCTGCAGAGCAAGGAGGTGGGTGATGGGCCTCGGAGCAGCACCCAACCCAGGGCTCCCAGCCGTGACCTACCCCCCCCCCCCCCCCCCCCCCCCCCCCCCCCCCCCGGCCAAGACTTCACACACTTCCGGCCCGGTGTTACCTGTGCTTGAAAAAGGGCTCATCTTCCATTTCCCTCATCAGTTCAGCTGCTGTTAAACCTTCTTTTCCATGCTCCTCATGAACTGGGGAGGTCTCCCGGCCAGCATCCGGAGGGTGGAGAACACGGGCCTCCCCCCCACGCGCACAGCGAGCGGCACCTCGGGTGGCTTCGTCTGCACCTGCTTCCCTCGCTTCCCCCGCCCCTGACGTCCTCACAGGGGACGGCGTAATGCGGTGTGTGGCCAGGGAGGACCAGCGCGAGCAGGACGGGACAGCCGCTGCTCTAGACCCGTGTGACCCGAATTCACCCGGGAATGTGACTGTATTCCGAGACCGGGCCTTTAAGAGATAATTAAGGTAAAATGAGGTCACTGGGGTGCGTCCTAATCCAATCTGCCCGGTGTCCTTACAAGAGGGGCTTGGGTCACAGCAAGACAGCCGTCTCCAAGCCAAGGAGAGGCCTCGGAAGGAACCGAACCTGCTGACACCTTGATCTCAGACTTCTGGCCTCTGGGGCCGTGAGAAAATCAATTCCTGCTCTTGAAGCTGCCCGGTCCTTGTTACTTTGTTACGAAAGCCCTGGGACACTAAGACAGCTGTCCCTGGGCACTGACCTGAGCAACAACAGTGGGGCAGAACCCTGTGCCGGGCACCGTGCGGTTCCCCCAACCTCACTCCTGAGCACCAGCAGCAGGGACAACCAGAAGGTCCATGGACTGTGGGACAATTGGCTTACTGTCAGACCCTTCGCGTAGATCAGTCCCACTTTACCAGCGGGGAACCAGCCCTAGAAGCCCGGGAGGCCGAGGCAGCACTCGGCTCAGGCCCCACATCTTGCTGCGGGCAGCCCGGGGGAGGCGGGTCCAGGGCAGGGCAACACGGTCACAAACAGCCACCTTGGGTCATTAACGGCACATCCTTTGCCCTGATTAGCAACCCTGCCCTTTTCTCCAGGGAAACAAGCAGGCTTCTGTGAAGTGCTAGGCTCTGAGGGCTCAGGATCGGTCCCTTTAGGACGCACTCACCTCCCTGAACACCAAATCGCCCCTCCGAACAATGCTATCAGTTTGCCTCAGAACGCGTGTGTGACGTATACACTCACAGACCCCACAGAAATGCCAAATTCCTCGCACCTCCTCTGCCCGAGGTAACAGGTGTTTATGGAAAGGAAGGTACCAGATCCGGGAGAGGGACGAGGCCGGTCAACCCAAAGCTAGAAGGTCACAGGCAGAGGGCACGGTGATGTGCCTGGGGAGCAACTTCATGCTTGGCCAGACCCTTCTCCAGTGTGTCACCTTCGGGTGACGCACAAGACTGAGAATCCGGACTCCCAGCCCCTCCTTCTCCATGTGCTTCCTGAGTATCACGACAGTGTGGTGTGAGGGGGGCCTCCTTCCAGGACTAGGGCTCCTTCCTGCTCTGATAGTCTAAGACCCCTGGGTCTAGAGGTCCAGGCCGAAGATTCCTGTGCCTGGAGCTGAGGTAGGGAAGGCTCTCCTCCCAAGAGGTGACCCTCTCTGAAGAAAGGCATCGAGTCCGGGAAGGTGGTAGGTACGGGATTCCCTGGAGGAATCTGGAAACGTGTGGTCTACAGATCTGTGTGCCTCATCACACCCCACACCGTGTCCTGAGCCATTTAATTGCGGGGATGCTTGCCCACACGTGTCCACCAGCCGGCGCTCTGCTCCCCCAAATCCCAAGCCCAGGAGTGCAGGCCGCCCCGGCTCTCAGCCTGTTCTCGGGGCCTGGTGCCAGGCTGGGTGCGGGGGGGGGG